CATGCTGCAGCCACCGGGGACTGCCCGAATCATCAAAGCTCTCCAAATCTTTGCCGAAGATTCGGAGAGCTTTGAATTGATCCAGACCTTTAAATTGGTCCCAGTTCAGATTCAGAGATTTGGCCACCGAATCGAGCCAAATCTTCTCCAAATTGAATCACCACCCAAAGCTTTGCACAGCCCTAGTGGGCAAACCCAAGGTAGCACAACCCTAGCTAGGATGGCTAACAATGTGGTGAAGACATAGTGGCATGGAATTTAGCAGGATGAGCCTGGGTACTTATTCAGGCAGCTAGCCCATGCTGAAGTCTGTGCTGCTGTTTGTTCACTGCAGTTACCCATGCTAGCTAAGTAAAACCAAGTTCAAGTGTATTGACACATGCTTTGATCACATCTCCTGATGCACTGTAGACATACCCTGGGAGTCCGCTTGGCTGATGGATCTCTCACCTGTAAGGATAAGGGGTATAATGTGCCACACATTCACTTTCATTCTTACTAATGACAAGAGAAAGACTCTGAACTGCTCTGTCCACAGTGGCCTGTGAGAGAATTGGGAGCCAAGGATAGTGAAGGGATTTTACTACCATAGTCTGGGTTCTGGTGTGGTGCAGAAAAGATAAGGAGGTATGGCAGCACTTTCTTCCTTGTGCACCTTTCAGTCTCACACTTCTCATTTTTTAGGCCTAGGCGCACTGAACAGGTTATTAGCTATAAGGTCATCTCCCCATGAGAGCGGAGAACACTAGTTGCTCTCCACTTGGTGGCACTGTTAGAGCCAGCATCAATGCTGGGATGTTCTTTTCCTGGGCAGGCTGCGAACACAGGCATCGGCTGGACCCTAGGCTACATGCTGAACCTCACCAACATGATCCCTGCAGAGACCATGGAACAGGTGAAAGGACACAGTCAGAACACCTGGATTGCTGCCATCTTCTTCATCATCCTAACTCTGGCAATTTGCATCGTTGCCCTGGCCATTTCCTTCTGTTCATAGGAGCCATTTAGCAGGAAAGTACAGCGAAAACTCCAGCACCTCAGACTGTGTCAGTTAATCAGAGACCTGAATCAATTAATAGGAAGTTTGAGGACCACTGATCACTAACCAATATGACCCTCAAGCACGGACAACTTGCAGGTTTCAACACTAAAGTGAATGAGCCTCACCTCAGCCAACAGCACGCGAAGTGTGAGCCTCCACCTTGAGCCAACAAACTATGGACACGTGTCTTAAAGGTGTTTAGGCACCGTACACATGGGGAGATCTTTCAGAAGCATTGATGTTCTTAATTCTCGGCAATTGCACCAGGGCTGAATTGTCTGAGTGCTTCTGAAAGTCCAGTTAGAAGTCTGCCTGCACCCTGAGGCACCAAAATAACTTTCGGTTCTGCAACCAATAGCTGACTCCCAAGTGTCCTGTGTCAGATAACCACTAAGGGGAGCCAAAGCCTCAACACTCTCCTACAGTCAGTTATATTCCAGTACTGTCCTTGAAGAGGGCCTCTGGCTGTAGATCAATGGTTCTCAACCTTTTTAGAGTCAAGGCACCCTCCATAACTTTTGCAAATTTGGTAGCACCCCAACTGAGAAACACCATTGTGTTACCTCAGTTTATCTCTGTGGTTCTCAACTGGGGTGCTGCTGCCACCACTGCCAGGTGGATGTGCCACGTGCCTTGTGCACCACCAGATCGAGAAGGACTGCAGCAAGACCTGCCTGCTTTAGGTTTATCAGACAATCCTAATGCAGATGGGAGTACCAGCTCCCACCACAGTCCTTTCTAATCTGGCTGTGCAGAAAGCATGCAGGGCAGGTCCATCTGGCTGCCACAACAGTGGGACCCATGCTGTAGCACCCCTGAAGGTGTCCTATGGCTCCCCAATTGAGAACCATTGCTCTACGTACTTATTTGTACCCCTTTTACCCCACAAGGAAGGACTCTGGGCTGTCAGGAGGAGAGATGACTTCAGGGGTGGATCCAGGAAGGGTGCAGTGATGCACCCTAATCATCTCCCTAATCCCTGTTAATCTGTCTCCATTCCCAGGCATTAACAACCCTCTCTCCATTTTAATGGTCTTGATGTTTATCTCATCAAGCTATCCTTTGTTCTGTAATTTTGCTTGCTCTTAGCTATTCCTGGTAAATGTCTCTCTTCTATTTTACAGCCCTGGAGGCTGTTTTTAGCTTTAGCTAAAAACCTTAACTCAGGTATGATAATATTAATTTAGGTATAGAAATGATTGACAGTGAAGTATTGGAGGCATTGTCAAGACACTCAAGAAAACCAGATTTTGTTTTATGACTCTGAATAAACAAGTTATATTTTACTATGACGACTACAGGCTTAATGATACAATATCCTTTGACCATTTTTTGCCTAGTATGTTGTTTTTTACGATTGTATATATACTCTAGCAAATTAGTGCCCATTCCAAGAATTATATTTGTTTTTGTTTTGATCTTAAACTGAATAATATAATGCTAAACCTTGGCCATATTGGTACAGCTTTCTCTTCCACTGGACAAAAATATGTGTTGTTATATGTGATGATGTGCCAAAGTATCTGCACCCCACTTTTCAAAATCCTATACCTGCTCATGGGTGACTCCAACAGCCCATCCTTGAAGGAGCACCTGGCTGTGTATAATCTTATTAATACCTTGTTCCCTCTTAAAATAATTTATGAGAGTAATCACAGTCCCATGCTGCGCTCCACCAGGACTAACAGGCAGAGCAAAGATGTCTTCAGGGCCTCCAGGAGGGAAAGGTTTTCTGAGCCTTGCACCTTTTCTCTAGTAAAGACAGAGCAGACGGTGGGCTTTGCTGGTTGCTTCCCCCCTTTTCTGCTACATGTGTCAAGATGTTTTTTAGATGTCCTCAGAGACACTAGTTTGTTGGCTGCAGCCAAGGCTTGGGATTTTGACTGGGATGTGCCAATGCTCCTGCAGGGACTTAAAGCTAGAGATTCCTGGCTAGAGGGTTTTGCCCTTCCATTCAGGGACAGACTGATTGCTGTATTTGTGGTCAGGAAGAAAATTTACTTTGAGGTCAGATTGGTATGGGCTGTGGCAGTTTTTGCCTTCTTCTGCAGTGGGCAGCATGGCCCTCTGCCTGGGTTCACTTGAGCATATACTAACAACCTTTTCTAGAAGCAGGACATTGGCCGCTCTGGTCCCCCTGCTCTACCTGTGGCAAGTTAATGTGTTATGTCTTGTGTTGTGTCACAGTTGACTGTATAGTTTAACTAAGAAATTAATTTATGGGTTTGTATAGGATGGTTTGAATAGGGATGATCTTGCCTCAGGCAGGAGGTTGGACTAGATCTGTGGTTCTCAATCTTTTTTGTACCGGGACCCATTTGTAAACATCGATGGCTAGTCCCGACACAGTGCCCCTCACTCCCAACCCACTGGCCACCGCTTCAGGTGTTTTGGGGCAGGCAGGGCTCCAAGCTGCCCTTTGCAGGCTGGAACTCTGATAGACTACAAGGGAAATGCCATCGTTTCCCATGTTTTTCTCCTTTTAAAGGAGAAGCCCTTTTTCAAGTTTGTTGATCCATTCTTAAAGTTTGTTTGTGACCCTTTATATTCTTGTGGACACTTTTGGGTCACTACCCACAGGTTGAGAAGCACTGGACTACAAGACCTCTGGAGGTCCCGTCTCCCGTCTAGCCTGTCTTTCTGATGTTATGATTATGCTTTGTGTATTTCAAATGGGATAGTTGTTTTTGGGTGTGTACCTGAAGAAGAACCTTTTTGTGGTCTCTGTGCGAGATATTCACCCCAGCACACAGTTTATACATGACTAAATCAAATCAGGGCTCAAGTGGAATGTAATTCTCATTCTAACTCTATGTGCAGTGGTAAATTTCATCATATTTCTTTGCCACCTGTGACTGCTTCTCATTGCTGTCTCCCACCCTGGACTTACAATTTCACTGATTTGTCTCCTACTCAACAAACCTATCAATAGGGCTGTACAAATCCTGCCAATGAGAAGATGCACTTTGATTTCTCTGGAGAAAATGCAGAGACTTTGCACTTATTCCTATTTTATTATAGAATTAAACGTTACAGGGAAACACGAAAAGGAAAAATAGCAAACCAGGCTGCAAAAGAAAAGCCCATTACGAGCCCAATAACACCTGAACCAAACGGATCTTAAAGCTCCACTGAGATTCCATCCCATGAGCTTCTGTACAATATGAAGTTTGGTCTACAGGTAAATGACAAAGGCTACGAACTGTATGGAAATATGAAACACAAGGGAAAGCAAGCCTTCATAAGGCAAGCTGAAGTGAAGCTTATCCGGCCTAGGTGTAAATGCCATATCCTGTGAGACTGTCTCACACATCTGTAATATGGAAATCATCTGGAGCAAAGGAAGCTATCTATGAGCATACTATCCCATGCCCAGAGGCCTCTTGTATGTGTTACCAAAAACCAAGCTAAAACTAAGGCCAAGGAGGGGACAAGGAAAAATTACTTATGTTCAGAGATCTTTGCTGGGCCAAAGAATGGGTTCCCAGAGGGATTCTGGGCCGGTCATTGAGCTGCCATGTGCTGAAAGAGCACCAAGCAGACCATTGGGAAAACTTTCTCAGAGCCATCTTGAGAGAGGTGGCTTCCAAATGATGGCAGTCTTGGGGACTCTGGTCACAAAATCCCCTACAGATGTCCAATCCCAGGGATCCACAGAAAAATAATGAGGCTTCCTTTCTGGGCCTGCCATGGTGGGAACACTGCTGTATACATTGAAACTCTGTTGCTGTCTGTGTGGTATTTGATTTGCAGAGTCTTTTAAAAGGCCCCATTGGCTTTTTCACTGCACCCCTTTGGAAGAAGAAGTCTTATCTTTATGCCAGTCACACTTCATGTGGCTGATGGATCTTGCCAGAACTTCGGGGAATCCTTTCCTGCCAAGTAGATGCTGTCCAGTGGATGGTCAAGTGTAAAGAATATTTGTGTGAACTGGTATGTTTGTAGGTGGGGTTGGGAGATTAAATTGCATTTTGTGGTCTAAGATACTGACTATATTAATTTCAGTGCACAGGAAAGGAGTGAGTGGCTTTGTCCTCATGAGTGATATGCTGTTAGTGCCAGCTTATTTGCTTTCATATACAAGTAGTGGCTGCCATTATATTCTGGAGATTGTTTGTGTGTGCATTAGTGGTTTGGGTCAGTTATTTGCCTGTGTGGTTTCTTTGAAATCCCTGCGCTCGTGTGGGCTTAGCCACACATGACTCCTATATGGCACAACACAAGCAGCTTCAGATTTGCTCAGCTTCTGGCTGCTAGGAGCTAATAAAAAGGTGGCTAAGAAACAGTGCCATCAGTGCTAGCCCTTGAAAAGGCCCACTGAATTCTAGTACCATGGTCAGAGTAAGAGGGGAGTAAAGTAGCTTTGGATAAAGAACACTGAAAGCCTAAAGGAAGCCTGTGCTGTGAAGGGTGCCTGCGAAGTCCTAACCCTACTGCACACAGCTCAGTGCTGCCTGTATTTGAAACAAAACCAAGCCCCAGTTCCTAATATTGTTAAAGGGAATCTTAGATGATTCAGGTGCGCAGAAACTTCATCAAAAAGGAAATGGTGAGTTGGGTAGCTGGGTTGACAGGCAAGAGATGAAGGGTACAATGTTGGGTTCATTTTGCTGGGTACTTTGGACTTCTTAGTGGGACTACAGGAAGCCCCTCCCTACGACCTCTCTAAAAGCAGCAGAGAGCAGACAAGCTAGTACTCACCCCTAACACCACTCTTTTCAGAAGAGCTCATGCAGGTGATATAAAAAGGGCCAGAGGCAGAGTCTGATCTGATCCTCAAGGTGGAACAAACTTCCTGTCCAAGGGAAAGGCGTGCATGAAGTGAGCACCTGCAGATGCTTTTTAACAGCCCACAAGCAGCATTGGGGTCACTGCGTGTACAAACAGAGCAGTGGGTTCTGGCTTCGTTTCCCATCTGTCGAGTAGCAGCTTTGAAACTACAACAGGATGTGCTTTCAGCAGTCAGCAAGGGCCAAATTCCCAAGGGGCACATGTGCATCTAAATGCCACTTTAGTAGCCTAAATCCAACAATTAGACATTCAAAAGCCCCACCACCTAGCTCTGTGGGGACCTGTCCTTCCTTGGTGAACAAGCTCCTCCTAGTGAAATGCTGTTAGGTACCTTTGTTTCTGTTGCTGGATGTATGCACCACTGCTTATGCTCTGAGCACAAAGCTGCCTGACACCTATGTCCCACCAGCAAAGCCAATGCACAAAAAACATGGTCACTACACAGAGAGCTGGTCTCCACAGGCTCACCTGCCAGGTTGTGTTTCCATGTGATCCCTCTGCTGGGGTGCAATGTGTGCTGGATGCCAGTGCTGATCGGGCAGGTTTCCATAGAAAGTTTGCAGTGGCCATGGAGGTGGGTGAGGATAGGGGAGGTCTGTTTCAGGGGTTCACCAGCATGAGGAGATGTTGCCCCTGACTATGTTAGGAGGCAGAGTGGGCCTTGACCTTTGCAACCGTATCCCACACAGAGGTCTGGAATGAACGGTGTGTCGGTAACCAGCACTGCTCTGTACCATCCCTATCATCTGAGCAGAGGTCAGATGGGGAAGATCCTTGCCTTTGAAAGAGTTAGATAAATGGGATCTACGTGCTACGTGCCCTATGCTGCAGCTGCCCCTGTAGCCCAGCAGTGTAGGACACACAGGCTAGCCCTCGCAGAGCCTCTGCAGGGCAGTGATACTAGTACAGGAGGAGATTCCCTCTGGCCCTCTGCTTGGGGTCTCCCAAAGGCTCTCTGCCCACAGCCACCCGCTCCTGCTGCACCAGCCCCAGCTCAGTAGTGCCACTGGTGACTGGTCTCTCTCCAGGTGCAGCTTGCCCCTCTACCCCAAAAGGCAGTAGGGCCACAGTTTCCCTCCATATATCCCTCTCCTCCTTATTCCTCAGGCTACCCCTCCAAGCCCTGTCCTCAGTTCAACACCTTCAGATTCTCCACCCACTCCCTTACCTCCTATACTCTCTACCCTCCCAGACATGCCAAGTCCCACGGCAAACTAACTTCTACCTCCTGACACGGACAGCTTTTGCTACC